CGTGCGAGTTGGATCGGGAGGGTGGAAGACTGGAGGATCCAGAACGGCCATGGTTACCGACTCTCGGTTTCGACAACTTTTGAGGCGGTCTCTTATTGTTGCTTTCATCAGGGTCCTCTTCATAGTGTGGTGACACGATCGAATGTGTGTTGCCCATTTTGACACAGAGCCGGGCCCGATAATGCCTTAGTGCTACGCCCTGATCGTGGAAGAAGTTACAGCGAGTGGCGCGCGCACACGCACACTCACCCACAATGCAATTGGGGCGACTTGGAAGATAAAAACGGATGCCAGGGCTAAAGGACGCGGCCAGCCGAGAGAAAACGTTTGTTACGAGAATGAGGTTGAAGCTGCCATGCCGCGCGAGATGTTATCAACGTATCGTCGCTTGTCCGGATCTTGGTGTGGTTGATTATATTATTACGATCCTCGGGGGGTTCTGTTGCGGTGAGGGTCGGTACAATGACCCGACGTGTATTTGTGTGTGTGGACCGGCTGTGACCTTGTGCCTGCTGGAGATAAAATGAGAACCAAAAAGAAGTGGTTACAGGCAGAACAGGGCCCAACGCGGTCAATGAGAAGATGAAGGGAAAGGGGGTGTTGGAGGGGGTCTAATAGATCACCAGCGGAGACCAGCACGAAGAGAGAATGGTTGTAGTAGCAAGAGGTGGAGGGATAGGCGTAATTAAAAGCATAGGCGGTACAGGCCCGAGCATTTACGCACCAGCGAGCGTCTATCGATTTCGTCAACTCCACCCAAGGGAATGTAATGCCCGGGCTTCCAAGAGTCAGTCGCCGGGATCAGTGGCGAGTTGTGCAGGTTTGTCCAGCGGGTGGCAGGTCTTGTATGCGGGAACAGGTATCTGTCTGAGAGGATTGGACGGATGGAAGATGCAGGAATGGGCCTCAGATGGCATCTGGAAGGAAGACGGACAGACAGCGAAGACCAACAGGAAACCAGGAGGTGGAACTGACGGTGACGACGTACATGGTTTGAGACGCGCAAGGTGGGTTGGGGTATAGCGGAAAAGGGACAAAGTACCGCCTGCGGGCGGGGTTATTCCAAGTTCCAAGACAGGCGTCGCTGTTGGCCCATGCAGGGCTGCAGTGGCATACGCCTTGGATACGTACTTTGGTGGATGAGAGTGAGAGGAGAGATCAGAGAGCCACCACCAGGTAGTGTAAAGTTGGTGTGTGTGGACGAGGATCCGTAAGGGTGTAGCGGCATCAACTTGCATCGAGTCCCCAGTAAAGGCGGAGGCGAGACACAAAGACGGACGAGACGAGACGAGACGGGTGAGGTAAGATGAAGGTCAAGGTCAAAGGCAAAGAGGGGGGGGGAGGAGGGAGAGATGACTTGGGTACCGTGTACTCCGCGTACTCTGTGCAGTATGCTGGTCAGGACACCGAGGACAGTGCAGACAGTGCCGGCAACGGTTCTTGTTACGGATGGATGGATGGGTGGTGATGGATGGACGACTGGACGGGGGATGCGAGTTGGATATGGTATTTCGTCTGATGGATGCCATTTTGCGGCCTGGTCGGGAGTGATTATCGGAAGCTTGGCAGAGACTAGGGAGGCAGGCACTCGAGACGGCCCTTGTCCTACGAATGGATACAGGTAGGTACCTTTACACGTGTAGTGTCGTATTGTCCTGTCGAAACACTCCGCCAGCCTCTTCCACAGTAGTGTGTCCATAATTCTTGATTTTTGTGCAGCCGGCAGCTCTTCACACTGCCACCTACGAAATGCGTTACAACTCTGTATTCACACTACCTGACACTACTACTGCGACTACTACTTGGTCGATGATGATGATCTGAAGCAGCAGAGCCTGTCGGTGGGGCCTGGAGCCGCCAGCCACGGCTGTCTAGACCGGTCCGTGAAGTGGTTTGGCTTCGGAGAGGCTTCTGCGTCCTCTGGCCGGCCGATGCAGCTGGATGTCCAGCTGGCTGTGCGCGGATTTTGCCCCCTCTTGAAGCCCCTCCGGACAACTTATCTGCTGGCCTGGTATGACCTGACACGGACAGGTCGACCGGGCTCGCCAGGACCGAAGCTTGTGGCTGCCGAGTGGAGCTTGATTAGGAACGTCCGAGACGAGCAATGCAGCCACGATGCGGCTGGTCAACAAACTCTGCAGAGAGTGATCCGTTCGATGTCTTTGATGTGCCAGAGCGGGCCATCCCAGCGAGAGGGAGGCGGCGGGAGGGTGAGTATCGACACTCTGCCGGAGGAGCTGATCGGAGCAGGGGCCGTGGCCAACGGACGTAAACGAAAGCCGAAGTGAGGTGAGTCCTTCTCAAGGCTCTGAATCCTTGAACCAGATCGGCCCCGGCTTCACTCTCGGGTCTTTTCCTTAGCTGTAGAACCATGCATCTCAGGCACTCTGTCATGTGTAGGTAGTATATCGCCGGGGAAGTATGTAAATTCCAACTCCACAGCAGGTTCCCTTTTGGATCCTGTCCGCTTGGATGGGGAAATGGGGGACGTCCTGGGCCATGGCTCAAGCCGTCCGTCTGTCAAATGACTGAGTGCCGTCGAAGTTGATTCCAGGATACGTATATATGACGCACGCGCCATTCGTATCGACAGGCACGGGATGCTAAGAGGTAGGAGGTAGATGCGCATGGTAACGGCGGTAGTAAAGGAGCGTCGCGAAGCCCCGTCCGTCGCTCTTACTGTATTGTACGATAGCTATCCGTGAGGTAGGTACATGGGTACTTTAGGTAGGTACCCACCAAGGCAAATAGGTACGTACCTAGGTAGTTTAGGAGGTACAGTAGGTATGGAAGTTGGAGGCAGGGTATCCCGTACTTTGGGGCAGGTATGGTTAAATCCAAATCAAGGCAGGTAGGTAGGCCTCCTATTGAGGGACACTTTGGTGCTTCCAGTCTTTCTCCAAGGATCGGGATCGGGAAAGCAGGAGTGCCCCGCCTTCAGAGAAAGTTCTGAGGCGAGGCGGCGAGGCGAGGCGAGGTGAGGCAGGTACGAACAAATAGATTCTGTACGTACCTTAGCTTACTTACCTGAGTTTACCTACACTAATTACACCGATCGGGGAGAGCCACCACCACGTTGCAACCGAACCTAACCTAACCTGACTTAACCTGCCTCGTGCTCTTGTTTGTCCTGTTTATTGTTGTCACTTCTCTTCCCTCATCTCAACGTTGGCGAGGTGTCATTGAACCTGGAGCCTCGTCTCCTCCCTATCCCTCCCTGTCCGTCTTGGCTAGCCAGCTAGCGAGCGTCCTTGCCCCCCCTCCCCCCTGCCTTGGTTCACATCCGTACCAGATCTTGCCAAAGGACGGATCCGTCATTCATCTTTCCCCTCCCCTCGTGGCCTCTTTCCAGACGGGCTTGCGCGGCGCCAACCTCCCTCTTTGACAACGTCCAGGTGCCTGTCCTCCAGCAGGGATCGCTAGTCTACTTTCGACAAACGCGCGACCGAGTGAGTGCAATTGACATTCCATTGCGTGTCCGTGGAAAAATCGGGCGTTGATCCAGCTCTACTAGTGTAGTGCAGCCCCGTCTCGGCCGCGGTCCGACATGTCTCTCCCGCCGCCATGCGCTTCCTTCTTAACCGCCGCGCCTCTTAAACCAGCGCTAGTGTGCGCAGAGTGGCAGACTGGCATTCCTTCTTGTCTGCAGCTTAGGCCGATGCTGTCCGCGAACGAACGACAAAAAAAAAAGGTACTCGTTTCAGATTGTGCCACTTGACCATGATGTAACTCTCAGAACTCGGTGAGACCAGCATCCTCATCACTAATCGTACCACACTCCGTCAGCCAACAGGCTCAGGCAACATGCTTGGTCCAGGCTAGCAGCCAACCATCATCGGCCCCCGACGCAGTTCGTACATGCAAAGGGATGCCCGTCGTCGATCTGTGGCCGCTAGCAGCCACTCTTTCAACGTCAGACAAAATAACCCGAGACCGCCCACACACCAGTAACTGTTGTTGGTTCATCACCCACCCTTGTCGTTGTCGGTATCATATAGCATCAGGCAGACTTCCACTACGTAAGATGCTACCTACTAATAACTGATTTTTGGTGTTGCCCTTCAAACAATGGTCGAGCAGCGGGCTCGCTTTCCGCATTGAAACACCTTATTAGGCCGCCGCTCTACCGTGGTAGCCGTCGGCCTCTTTCCTCCCTAAATACATAGGTACACTACTCCTGAGAAGCAGCATGGCACGCATGTCATTGGGTACCGCTCGTAGAGACTGAGACAATGACTATTTGATCGCTGTGCCACGTACTGACTATTAGCTCCTCGCCCTGAGATAACCTCATCCTGGCCCTGGTGCCGCAACGGGGAATCCCTTTACACCATAATTAGCGCAATTTTCCCGGCGAACATGGTTCAGGGGGGGACGTGAAATTGCTCTTCCGCCTTTCCTCAGGCCACCTCCGCATCTAATTATCCATACAAGTGCAAGTTATGATGAAAGGGTGGAGCCAACAAGCGGTAATACAAAGAACATCGGCCCCGGGTTTTCATCACTCAGCGCTCATACTCGGAAGATCCAATTTGTTGTCGCCCCCGCATCAAGCGGGAGAAGGACATTCTGCAAGCCACGTTTGGGGAACGTCACGTCATGTTTTCGCAGTTCAAAGATCTGCCAGGCGGGTTGCAGATATTTCCTCAGGGGACGCACACACAACGGGTCATCGTCGGCATCTCTCATCCTCGGACTGCACACTTGCATAGCTTGAAAAAGCGACTGGATTATTATCCAAGCGACCGGATTGACAGCGAATGTGACGGGTCTCGCGCAGGGAAACCCCCTAGCAGTATCGCACGGTTGCAGTCACCAAAACGCCTGCGTTTCTTCCAGCCTTCCAACTTTTCTGCCTGGTCTCAGACATTATCCAGGAGAGACACTGTGCCGCACTGAGCTGAGCTAGGTACCGCTTTCGCCCTTAAGATCATGGACCGATGTCCATGCTGTTTCGCCCGCCGAGAGCTGGGCATCCCGACTTAGTATAAGCTGCCAGAATGCCTGGCGCCATTGAGCTTTTCGTTCGGCCGAAGCTGCAGACAGCCACTCCCAAGGACCATGCACGCTCACCAAGCTACGAGAACGACGGCCACACCGAATGCAGTGTTCGCTGGCAGCATTTCTCGGCATCACCCTCGCCTGCTGAATTCGCCTTGCCCATCTTTGACGAGCAGGTTTGCACGATAATTATCATCATCAAGGATGGGCGGACTACCCCCCGTCCAATATCGCCGTCCGCTTACCCAGCTGGGTTGATGGACCCCGACTGTGTTTCTTCAAACATGCCGCGTTACTGCACCGCGACGTCGGTCAGCGTCCGTTGAATCATGCCGGGTCGGAGCCACAGCGACGATCAAGCAAAGCACCGAACCCGTTTCTGTTCGGAGCATCATCGGGACATGTCCTGGTTTCGGCACGGGTGCGCGACAGAGCTCCATATTTTAAGGCCCGACGATCATGCAACCCGACGTGTTTACGCCGTCGACGGCTGCTGTCGGAGCAGGATTGATCAGCGCCCCTCCCTCCTCTTGCCAGGGCTGTTTTCTGATTCTTGCGGTTGGCCGATGCACGACATACACCGCTTGTCCGATGCACGACATGCACCAGTCGTTTGTAAAAGAAAATGCTGTGGCCGCCTACGACTCATCGCACATGTTTTTCTCAAGGCTGTGTCGATCATGACTTATAACCTTCTCACACTCAATCTCGGAGCGACATTAAGTACGTATCCAAGGCTAAAGTACCTACGTGAGCGACATGGACGGTTCCAAACGTTCTTGCGCGGACAAGCTTACGCCCATGGACACGGTCTCGAGTCAAGGCCTGTGACTGATCAGGAAATGACTCAAGGCTGCTAGGTAGAGTCTCTAGGGCCGTCGTCCGAACCAAGCTCTAGCAAGCCAGACACGATGCGTCGCAGAAGTTGCTGGCAGCCGCCGCAGAGCCAAGTATGAGACGGTGAAAAAACGGACGGTAATCGGTGCCCAAGTGAACGCAGTCCGCAGAAGTATGAATGCTACACTGGAGGCTCCAGGCAGGCCGTACACTATCCGAGGGGCGAGAGAGAGAGAGAGAGATGATCCTTTCCGCCCATGCGGATACTATCAATCGCAAACACCACGGATTGCGCGGCCCAGGATAGTAAGGAATTTGGATGGCGTTGGCTGATACAGTCGACCGGGAACTCTTAATAGCCAAGGCTGTCTGGAAACCGCTCCTCGGATATCTCGAGGCAGCGCCTCTCCGAGAATGAACGGTGCCCGCCGTTAGCAAAGCCATGGCGACACGCACAGGCCCGTGGGGACTTTTGAGTCAGGCTGCACATTCGGGTAAACCGGCGTTCCATTGGCCTTCCGGAACGTTTTGATCACCATTGCTCCCCAATGAGTCGGGGAGGGGCGTTAAGGCCGCACAAGTGAAGGATTCCTTTTCGTTTCAAATCCGTTTCTTTGACCGGAGCGCGGTTTTCGTCTTGATAAGCATTCGTGTAACGACGCGAGCTGTGTGCTGTCTCTCTCAACGCGGCCGTAGAGCCGATTACTCGAGTTTAAGACGCCAAAGCCTGGGCCTGCCTTTCGCGGCGGTTCCGCAAGAGCATGCACTTATTCACAGGTTGACCGAACTCGTGCATCGGATACACTTGAGCGGGATCCTTCTCAACCCTTCGGCGCAGCGGTTCTGGCTCAACTTTTGGGTTGAGCAGCAACGACAGGAGGCGAAAGCGCGCCGACAAAAAAGGCTGGATGCGGGACAGGTTTTGTCGTCAGCAGACCTGACGGGCTTGTCCGGTCAGTGCATGGAGACTTTTTTTTCTCTTTCGTTTTCCTTTTTTTTCTTTTCTTTAAACGGGGACCAAAGCTTTGGCCGGGCGTTCGGAGGTCTAAGTCAGCACACACTCACACACACACACACATACCTACACAAGGCTTCTATTTAGGGCACGCATTGGTCCCGGACAGACTTGGACCTGCACACGTTTACAGTTTTGTTGGTGTGTATGGCTTGTAACCAGGCTGTTCCAGTAATTTCGCCACGTCGCAAAACTCAAAGCTGGGCCTGAGGCACTGTACATGGTTGATCGCTGGCAGTCATGATTCCTCGACTCAGCCAACAGTCGGCGGCCTCTCCGGGACAGCCTCCTTATTTCAATCGCGAGGGCGGATTGGCTAGTTCATGATTTGCCTCGATTCAAAGCTGTGCTTCAGGCGCAAAGTGTGGAAGGTCGGCATTGCACGCCAGAGAAGAATGGAATCAAAACGCCACTCGGTATCCAAGTCGCCCGGCGGAAAAGCTGACATTGTCCACTGAATCATCCAAAGAGGCATACACTCGTCCCTCTATCCTACTCTCCAATGACATAGGTGCAGCCCTCGTCGCCAATCCAGACCTCATGCACGCGACCGGCATCGACATCGACGCGGTCGCCGACGGCATAGGTAACCTTCTGAGGGGTCTCGTCCTTGGGGTACGTAATGGTCAGGCTGCCGCGGAGTATCAGATGGGTTGTCAGACCGCGGTGCGAATGCGGGGGGTAGTGGGCATTCCTGAGTTCTGAGCGTCAGTTCGTGCAGCAGCTCGAGGTCGAGAGGAGCGAGGCGGGCAAACATCACGTACGGTCCATCGGTCCAGGTAAAGACGTGGGGAAACCCCCATGATTTGACCTCGGCCTCGCTGTCTCGCTGTGACATGTCCCTCTGAGGCATGGCGACGTACGTGACTGAGATGCGTGTCCAAAGCGGTCCTGTGGTGTTTGTCGAGGGCGGTCGAGTTTAGGGAGGACTTTGAGCGGATTTCCGGGTTACGTCACAGTTGCGATATAGATATCAAGTCCTGTGCTGCGCGGCGGGGGGTAGGGTGTGCTAGTTCGAATCAAGGTCCGAGGGTCACAGCCAGCCTGCTGTTGCGACACAAAACTAACGGGCTTGAGATAGGTATATATATATGTAAGGCGCTGCAGTACCTGATGAGAAGATGGAGGATTTGAAAAACAAAACAAAAGATAAAGAAATACAATCAAAAGACTGTCGTGGCGTGATGTGATGGATGATGCGGACAACTCAGAGGGCCGTCAGAGTTTACCGTACCGATATTGTGTCGATGCTGAACGCAAGCGACTTGCAGCGCTGCAGGCTCGAGTGTTCAAGCTCCTCCCTTCCTTCCCCCGGGTGCCCACCCCGGTGTCGTTGTGGCGACTCGGGAGGCGCAGCAGAAGGGGCCGCCGAGCCAGAAACCCACACAGCACGCGCTGAAGACGGAAGGGGTTCAGGATTGGGAAACCCACGGAGAGACACTCGGCGGGCAGAACGGACACGGGCAGACGCTTTTAGTGGAGACTTGTCCAAGTGGGAATGGAATGAATGTACGGATACGGATACAATGTACTCCGTACGGTAGCAGGCTTTGTTCATCCTTTCCCACAATTTTTTATTTTCGCTTCATTCCCCCACCACCCCCTGCGGGTAATCAAGGTAGCATTCCTTCGTACTGCCGTCCGGAGGACTGGGTCAGTCGGGTCGGTGTCGCAGTCCCTCAACCTTAGCATGACCATGATATCACCGTTTAATGGGTATCGTCCTCCCCATACGAAGCGGCGAGCAACACTGACGCTTTCCCACCCCGTCATCTGCCCCCTCTACCCGGACGGAATGCTATGTTTAGCCCAGACGGCGGCTCTCCAGACCTCGCGACATTGAATGAGGGGCAAGCCTGTCGGACGTGCTTTTACCATCCATCGAGACATCAACTGTGTCACCGACGACAGTTTGAAATTCTGCCCTGCAATCGTGGACAAGCTGACAAGGCGAAAGCCCTCGCGGGGCAAGCGGGCTGAGCACAAATGGACGGATGCGCGCGTTTGCATCTGCACGCGTGCCGTACCCTACGGGATAGACGACGCTTGCTGGTGTTGGTGTTGTTGTTGTTGTTGCTGTTTGTTATCCAACTGCTTCTGGATGAGGCACCCCCTGAGACCAGACCAGCCAGAAACGACAAGGCAAAATCAGGCGTTGGGGGCTGAAATCAGCTCGCTTCCACCAGAGGCAGGCGACAGAACAGGCGGCCAGGGCACGCAGACTCCGCCCCCGAAACAGCATCCACCCATTCGTTCGTTTCCCATCCACGGCATTGACTGTAAGCATTCATCCCGTCAACGGATGCCTAAGATGACACCCGCCGGCATGCGCCCCCCGGTCACCGAACATCAACTCTCCAAGCCAAGGGAGGCCGAGGGCGGATGGGGCGATTCAGGCACCGACGCATTCAACGGGGGGGGAAAAACCACGACGAAACAAACAAGACAAGTAGATGCAAAGGGTCGAGGCCGTTGAGACCGTTCCCGTTCATCTTGTTGCCATACTTGGTTGGGGATTTATTCAGTGAATAACTCATCCGTGCCCAGTCCAGTAGACCGGGCCTGAGATTGGCGGGGACAGCCTCGTCCGATGGGGGTACTCTTCGATGAGGGTAGCCAATGGGAGAGGATACAGCACTGCCCCGATGGGCCGAGTCCCTGTCCCAACTGCCCTGTGAATGGCACCTTTAGTTTGCTGTTCCTTGCCGTTGAGACACTCCCCCATGTCATCAGCTATGCTGACATGCATATCTACGCCTCCCACTCCATGAAATGACCCATTTTTTGCTGGCTGGCCCTCTTTGAATGTCTTCGTCCTCAATCCTCTACACGCCGCCCTTGCAGCTAGCTAACTAGCTAACTAGCTGCTTTTTCTTGCCTTGGATCCCGTCTTCTTCCACCTTCGCTCCTTTCTAGTCAAATGCCCTTCTCTCCAATGGGCGGATGACCCTATTCCCGACGCTGCGAAGCCGTGCACCTCTGTCTCCTAGCATTAGGATTAGCACTAGACCAGGCTACGGCTACTGGCCAGTGAGCCATCCCCCTCCCTCCGCCAATCGACCGAACTAGACACCCGACCTGGTCAATCGGCACACCAAGGTACTGAACAGAGGCTGAGATTCAGGAGGCAGGCTTCTCGGCCGGTGCGCGCGTCCCAACATGTGTCTCTCTGTACGTCGTCCATCGAATCCCATGCTTAGAGAGGGGGAAGGGGGCGATGCTGATGCAAGGCTCCGAACTCCTTCGGCCTGTAGCATTCGATGCCTCCCCTCTACAACCCTCACCACCCAGCTATCTCGCTCCCATGTAGCGCCCGTACTTCAGAAACCTAACAAATGTTCCAGTTTTGCCGCCGCAAGGCCCCAGATGGCGACCCAAACAGGAGGAAACGGACCCTAACGATGCCCCTGTGGTCCTCGTCCAACAAGACCTCGTCCAACACCCTCAAGAAAATGGTTGGCCTCACCACAATCCTAGCACCTACCCACGGCGGTTTCCACTTCAAACCCTCTCGGCCGATGCCCATGATCAACATCATAGACGTCGACGGCGCAACCGACCCGTCCTCTTCCTCTGCCGTCACCTGCGACCCGAAAAATACCTCCGTCGCTTCTACCGCCGACGAGATCCCACTCAATTTCACCATCCAAAACCGGCTTAAGAGAATCTTTGACGAACTACGCTCGCGCCGCTCCTCGTTGTCCCGCGAACCTTTCGTGACCCGCGGACAGCTGCTTGCATTCCTCGAGAATACCCAGGGCGAGATCAACGCCGAGGACGTCCTACCCGAAGAGAAGGAGAGATACAACTTGGGAGAATTTCTCGAGACGTGGTGGAGGCATTACGGTTGGGATGCGGTCCGTCCTCTCAAGAGCGAGGAGAAAGACTTGGGCCGCCCCATCACAAACTACTTTATCAGTAGCAGCCACAACACGTACCTCGAGGGCAACCAGCTCGTCTCCAAGAGCTCGCCCGAGACCTACAAAACGGTATGTTCGTTTTCCCCCATGGAAGCTAGTGGAAAATCGGACCGCTAATGGGACTGTAGGTTCTCCGCCGGGGATGTCGGTGCATCGAGATCGATGTTTGGAACGGAGACGCCATAATCCCAACTCAGGGGGGCACCAGGTCCGACCATTCGAGAAATCTGTCCGGTTCCTCCCTGCCTAATGTGGCGGCGAGCGTCAAGGAGACGGTCGAAGATATCTTCTCAGATCGCAACGGCCACAACAGAAACACGAGCAGCGCCAGCAGGTCTCTCGACCCTCGTGACAGCAGCACACTGCTGGGACCCGCCGAGTCCACGGAATCCCTGGGAAATACCCTTCGTCCCCAATCCCCAAGCAAGAATCGCCTACCATATCCCAAAGACGAACCCATTGTCACCCACGGCTGGACCCTGACTACCCCGTGCGGCTTCCGCGAGGTGTGCAGGGCTGTCCGCGAGTCCGCCTTCGAGACCAATGAATTGCCTATCATAGTCAGCCTCGAGGTGCACGCTGACATGGAGCAGCAGGAAGTCATGGTCAGGATCATGAAGCAGGAGTGGGAAGGGATGCTGATCGACAAATCCTGGGAGGGCATTGACCCTCGTTTCCGTCTTCCCAAACTTGAGGAACTGAAGCGCAAGATCCTCGTCAAGGTGAAGAAGGCGCCTAACAAGATCGAGATGCGTCTCGGCGCAACGACGTCGTCGCCCATCTTTGCCAACGACGAGGACGCCTCAGGCTCTGATGATGAGCAGAACAGGGAAGTACCGAAAGCACCAAGCACCCCCAAGCTGGACACTCCCATCAAGGTTCACAGCGGGAATGAGCCGCCGAATAGCACCAAGGTGGCCATTTGCCAGGCACTCAGCAGCTTGGCCATCTACACGCACAGCGAGCGCTTCAAGAGTTTCGAGACGCCGGCGGCCAAGAAGCCAAGTCACATCTTCTCAATAAGCGAGAGTAGGATCCTCGAGCTGCATGCAACCAAGGCCCGCGAGATGTTCAATCACAACAAGAACTTCTTCATGCGGGCCTTCCCCAATGGCGCGCGCGTGGACAGCTCTAACCCCGACCCCAGCCTGTTCTGGCGAAAGGGCGTGCAGATGGTCGCCCTCAACTGGCAGTACCTCGACGAAAGCATGATGCTCAACGAGGGCATGTTTGCCGACGAGGACGGATGGGTCCTCAAACCCATCGGCTACCGAAGCTGCGACAAGGACACCGTCACCGAAGTCGACGCCGCGCCGCAAGGTGACCTGGAGCTTACCGTCACCGTCATCGCCGGCCAACACATCCGGGCCACCAGCGACTCCGACAGCACCATCAGCCGCGCCAAACACCTCCGACCATTTGTCAAGTGCGAGCTTCACGTCGAGATTGGGGCTGTGAACGGCAAGGCGGCCGACGAGGATGACTTCAAGCTCAAGACGGGGGCGAGGAAGACAGACAACCCCGAGTGGGACAACGGAGCCCGGCTCAAGTTTCCCAAGGTCTCGAGGGTGGTGGAAGAGTTGAGTTTCCTCAGGTAAGAGCATCTTCTCTCATATTCATCCATGGCCCGCTGGCACATATCGGTCACACGTCTTATCAAGCCGTGTGCCCCGGAACACACGTGTGTAATGCGCGGCTCCGCGGCTCCCCTTCCCTACAGCGTGTCCGACCCTCTCGCAGAATAGCCCAGGCGGCGTGAGGGTTTCCGGCAGCAATGACCTCCCAATTCCCAGACGGCCTGACCTGTTCGAGGACGGCATGCTTCCACCCTGTCACGCTCGCGCCCTGGGTGCAGAGAGGTTGTCGTGTAACAAAAGAGGAGTTGCGGAGCGTCGTCGTTCCATGCAGTATCACCAATCCCATCCCGCACAAGCCGCCAATATTCGGCTGCCAAAGCGGGCCGCCGCCCTTGACAGGCCGGGCCGTTGCACACCGCAACGGCGTTGACGGTTCACTTGCAATCCGCGGGAAGATATTTCCGCAGAAGACACGGACATGGAGCACATTGGAGCTGGCAGCTAACGTTTACCGTTTCCAGGTTCAAGGTTGAAAATGACCCCCTCCTGGGAGGAGACCAGCTGCTGTCGTGGGCCTGCATCCGACTCGACCGGCTGCGTCAGGGCTTCCGCATCGTCAGGCTCATGGACACGAAGAACCGTCCAATCGAGGGTGGCAAGCTGCTCGTAAAGATCGACAAGGTGGTGCGGTGAGGGATTTCTCGTATGGTAGTACTATCACAGAAAGCCGAACGAGCCACGACGACGGGATGAGCGGCTCTACTATACCTTGGCTTGGGAACAGGATGAGCCACCGGGAAGATGGGCTTCATTGCCCTTTTTCTTCTCTTTCATGCCCCCCTCCCCCTTCTCTCACTGTGTTTTCTGGTTGGTATCTTTTCCACCGTTGAGGCTTGCGGACTATTATTATTATTATTCTTCTTCTTTTTTTTTCTTCTTTCATTTTGGTCGTTTTGGTTAGTTGCAGACAACTCGATACCATGGAGAAGGCGTTTTTAATGGAGCGGCGGGGTTTTGATTTTCTTTCGTTTTTTTCTTATACAACCCTGGAAACACTTCCTTTTCTCTTTCTGTGGCGCGCGAGATACCTATTCTTCTGCTTGACTCTCATCCCCTCCCCGCCTTTTTTCTTTTTCTCTCCCCCCATATTTACTCTTTTATTTTCTGTTGTTGGGTCTTTCTTCGACCCATTGCTTCTTCATTTCCCTTCATCAAGCCCGCATACTCGCACGGTTGGGAAGATGGAAAAGCGGGAGGTAGGAGGAGACGGGCATAGGATTTGTGTCTCGGGGAGTTTATTCCTGGTCGCCGTCTCAGCGAACGGCCGGCGGCCGGCGGCCAAGGAGGTGGGGTGGGAATGGGGAGGGAGGACGCCTCCATCTCATAATCCTTAACAATTCTCATCATCTTTATCTATATAATTGTAGGGGACATCGGTTCGGCGGGATCGGGAGGGGCATCGCGGCCTAAAGGAGAGACAATCGGTCATGCGAGCGAGGGGGGAAAGGGTCGTTCTTCGGAACTTTTATCTTTTCGTTGGGGGCCGGTGGCGGTAAGAAAAGAAAAAGGGTGGGGGGGGGGGGGGGGGTGTGGTGGTGACGAGGACCAAGACACAAAGTGAAGATGCCGCATGAGAGACGCGAGGAGGGAAAGCAAAAACCCGATATGAACAGTACACAGATACACAGGAACCCGTTGGGGTCCGGTCTTGGACCAGCAAGAGAGAAGAAACAACAGGTCAACGGGTTGGAACCACACCATGGACGCGCATGAGTTAGCTAGATAGATGGATGGAAAGAAACTACAGCCAAGGAGGCGAGCCAACATCTCTGAGTCAAACTGTCTCCATCCTTTTCCGTCCTTGTGTCGTTCCATTTGTCTCTCTCCAGCTTGGGGGCCGAAGATCTAAGACATCTCTCTCTCTCTCTATCTCTCTGTGTATGTATGTTTCTCGTCAGCTGCTCCTCCTTTTCTCGATCCAAGCCAACGTCTAGTCCCATCACCAGACTGAGATCGGTCTCAGTCTGGTGTGGGTGGCTGCCCGCCACGCCGAAGCAGAGTCCATGCTTTCTCGAGTCTCTTGGCCGGGCTTCGTGTGAGGCGTGTCTCGAAGCATCCCAACACGTCACAACCAATCTTCGAAAAGGAATAAGGAAAAAAAGTTGAAAAGAATTCTCTGAGTGAAGTTTTTCTTCCTTATTTGCTTTTCTTTTCTTTTCTTTTTTGCCCGGCCAAAACGAACAGATACTCGCGCGTCTCACTCAAGTGGATGAGATGAAGAGACGCGTATATCGCAGACGAGGAAATGATGTGTGCGTCTGTTGCATTCTCCTTTTTTCGCTGGCCACTTCGCGGCCATCAAGGTCCTAGCTTTAGCTGGCCCGTCCCGTAGGTTGTGGAATGTCTACGGTTGCTTATTCCACCCGGGCTTCGCGTTGCACCCGGGCACGACATGCTTCTCTTGTCGTGTGACGCCGGAAACCGGGATCTGGAGCGGTCAAGCAAAGGAGCCTCCCCTTCCGCCACCGGGCCACAACGTCATTGTCGTGCCCTACCTGAGAACCTCTGTTGTAGACTTGCGTTCCGAGTTGATGGACGCCCGTACAGGTCGTCGTCTCTTTCGCTGACACAAGTCGGCTGCGGGCCGATTGGTGCCACGACACGGCGGGTGTCACGTCCAATCCGAGTCGCCCCCAATATTTTGCCAAGACGCCAGTCCATAATCAAATCGCGTTTGTAGACCATCCCTCTCCATTCCGTGCCTGCTGGCCGATCGTCTGCGCATGGCAACGCTACTGCGAGCCCGCAGCCTTCAGGTTCATCAGAAGGTGCTGCAGCCCTGCCCGGTTGCTACAGCTTGGCAGAGATGCACGATTGGCAAGCCGGTAGCATCGATACCTAACCCGATGGCCCCAGTTGCGGGTTGCAAGTTCGGCATTGATAAAGGATGCCACCGAAAAGAACAGATGACGCTCGATGGGGGGTCGTCGATCCCAGGACGGCTTGAAGTAGTAGGGTGCGTGCATGATGGTGTAGTCATAGGTACTCCAAGTCCATCCAGCATGACCGTTAACTGTGGGACAGGCTACATCCTCGGAGAAGAAAGCAGGGGTTGAGACTGGCTAATAGGCTTCTACGCCGCTTGTACGTGAGACAACAAGAAGAAAATATGGCCATCATGTGGGCTTACGATGCCGGGAAAGGGGCTGCCTGTTGCGGACCGATAGCAGACGATTTGTCAGTTATCACCGAGATTCGATGTTTCGGTATGGCTAGTCCAATTGTAGAGAGTCCTCCGATAATATGCAGCCACCAACACAGGCTTTTCCCTATGGGATATTGCACACTGGTTGCTAGTACAACTTCGTATGACCTGTTCAAGCCGTATGGCAGCTCAGGTGTAACCGCACGCTTCTTCCCGAGCCGAGGCGTACAAAGCAGACCAAATAAAGTTGACAGGTAACATGCGGCGGGTTGGAACAGATGAGGTGCGGCTACCTTGAGGTGCGGGAACCAGGGCGGTCCGACAAGACCGCACCGGCAGTTGATTCGCACATGAGCATTGGGGATCTGGTACTCTGTGAACGTATGATTATCACAAACCCCATATACAAAGGACGGGGATTGCTGGCGGTGAAACACCTGTTTGTTCTGACATTCCAAACTTTCGTTTGGCGGAGTCGCCATCGAGATGATGAGAACTCTCAACCCAACCTTCTCGGTAAAGATCATCCGAAATGGAGGCGGTCAAGATGCAACAACCCGCTTCTGTCTCTCGGTTGTACGTACAACCATGTGGTACAGTAACCGGAACGCTAAACGGCAGTTCCGACAGCTTGGTTGACTAGCCAGGTATGCCTGTCGGTGGCAAGGAGGCAACCGAGATTCCGGTTCTAGATATGGAGTCATCAAGAGGCCGACCGAAGGCGGCATAGATCGTGGATCATCAGATGGAATCTCAAACCGGGGCCCGCCTGAGACCTGAACTTGCAGATTTGAGACTCGCTTCTGGTAGCCTCGACCTCTGGGACTTGCCGGAATTACGCGTCAAGCAGGGCAACGGCCGACCGAGAACACGGAATAACCGCAGTTCTTGACAAAGATTCTGGCGTTTGTTGTTTGTGGCTTGATGAAACCAATCCGTTCCTAGGCTGGGGTTACATGGCGTCACGTCTTCATGGGTGGTTACATACGTATGCCGGCATCCTTATTGCAAGAATAGCATCATTGTCCTTGGCGAGCCGTCAAGAATGCGAACAGGATGCTTGCCTGTGCCGTATTGAAACTTTTGACTTGCTGGCCTGCTTGACATGTGATACGTGTGTAACCGAATGCTTTGCAAGGGAGAGAGCTTGGGTTGCGGTCAAACAGGCCGGATGTGTGTTCAACGAGATGCGATCAGTCACTAAGCAGCCACCAAGCAGAGCCTCTTGTGGCTTGCCAGATCTCTCGTCATCGTGAGTCAATAGGCAGTCGGCTGGCCGTGCGTTTCTTCTAAAAGTAACAAACTGAGTACATGTGGGGAGAGAAAAAAAAATCAGAACAAAAGCCAGCCGAACGATTGGGCGATCGTGGCGGAAACCGGATCTTGGTAGGGCAATGTGGTTTCGTAACCAGGCGATGTGGCCGATGTGACAAGTCGTGTTCTCGACGAAGGCCTCAGCGAAATTGGCTGTCGTGGCCAGTACATCAGTGGACTTTGACGGATTTCGACGGAAAACCTGATCATCTGCGTATCTCATGTGCTATGTGACAGGTCATTTCGACAAGTTTGCATGCTCGACATGCACGCACTAGATGCGTATTGGGGCGCTCAAAAGCCCTCGTTGCCGGTCATTGGATGGCCCTACACACACCGGCGCCTGCGGCATTATGTGGACCAGCCAAGAGGCGCTTGTTAGAATTCGCAGGGCGTCGGAATATCGATTATTAACTACAATCAGTCGTTGGTACAGTTGGAGACTCAGTTTTGTGATCTGCTAGCGTTAGTCAGAAATGACAGCGATGGAGTTTGGTCAGAAAAGCCGATACATCAATCTGCCTGGCAGGCAGGCAGGCAGGCATATGAAACCGTGTAATATGAGACACCGGATTTCTGATGCCGCTCTGGGCTTGACACAGGGAAAAGCTGATTGAGATTTCGGTGAATCGAGAACTGGGATCTAGACCCGGTCGATGACTGTTGGTAAGCTTGTCCATGCCACGACTCGGCGCTGCGGCTTGTTGGACCTCTGGCCTGGCGTCCAAGACAAGGGCCACACACATGACCGTCGGGGTCCCTCGAGGGACGGAACAAGCCGCCCTTCCATAAATCATTGACCAAACAATGAGCTTCGTTCCCTGGTTGGTTGGGTATACGTAGCACAACAACCCCCAGCCTGATGGGGTGACCAGCGCCGTTGCTTCGGAAGCACAACAGGACACACGACAGCAGTCGGAATTGCAACCGGTGCCCCCGGATACAAACGATTCGATCCCTTGGGTGGAGGTCGTATTGTACGATGGCCGGCAAAGTGGCGGAAAAGCAACAAGGCGACGTCGCATGGTGAATCGACTTGGCATATATATCAGCCTCGTAAGTGTCGGTCAGACAAGGAGGGGGTTCACAATACACAGCCATCGGCGTCTGGCCTCGTCATAAGGGATCTAGTCTTGTGGAGGAAGAGATACAGGGCTGGTAGATAACGTCAGAT